TCTCTCTATGATAAATCAATGAAAGCTTTCGTGTTTATTAATAGTTTATTATTTATTTTGTTTAACTACATACTCGTCTAGAACCATTTTTTTTTCTTCAATTGTAAATAGAGCCCCCAGATATCCGGTGGTAGGCGTTTGTGTTATACATTAACGTTTTTTAATCAACTGAATGGCCAGTAAGCGCCCCGGGTCATCGGGTGATAGGCGCTTGTGTTAATAATTAATACTTTATTATTTAATAGAGAGGCCACTTAGCGCCCCGGGTCATTGGGTGATAGGCACTTGTGTTATAATATTACAATTTTTTATTTTTGCACGTCTTTGGCAATGCCCCTCCACTGCTGTGCTGTCTGCTCGACGGAACATTTTCTCTAGATCGTATAGCAATAAATACGATCGAGGGAAAAAGTTCCGATATTGAATCCGCCCAACCCAACGCTGCAGTCGACCAAGCCGCACACGCCTTCGTGTGCGCACTTGTATAAAGGATCCGAATTACGTTCAATAAAGTGTCTATCACCTATCAGTTTCTTTCTAGGTGTTCGTTGACCTTGGTGACTCCAGCTGTATGAGTTCAAAGATGATAAAACTATTAAAAATACTATTGATAAAACTAAGTTGGAGATCGTCTGCGCATAAGCGAGGGCAAAAAATTTACAATAAAATGTTTTATTACAATTTTTGCAATAATTTATTTATTAATTATAAAAACTATTTCGGGGGCAACAGGCGCATCCACCACTGCGCAATAATATATCGAAGATAGTATGTTTTTTACACCTTACGGGTTATTTATATAAGTGCAGCAGTAGGTTGTATATCGCGTAAGCTTGCATTTNTTATTTATTAATTATAAAAACTATTTCGGGGGCAACAGGCGCAATGCACGCGCTATCTTTTAAGCCTTTACTTATTTTTGTAGGACTTACTACTCGAGAAAATCATACAATTGAAATTTGGGGGCAGCCCCTAAGTAATTGTTATTTATAATTAAAAAATAAGGCAACGCGCAAAAAAGTTGAGTTTTTTGTTGTATTTCTTACGCGCAATCTAATGGTGTAATTTATTTTGGTATTTATAAACTCTGGGGGCCAAACTTATACAGCTAGTGACTCCCTACTTACAGTTCCCACACAATTTACTTATGATGTTAAAATATAAGGTGTGGTGTTGCGACTGCTGCGAATCCATTTTGATGGACCAATTAGAAACGCTTCCATCGCGCCGCCATGTCTGTCTGTGAATTTTAAAAGCTTTTAAAATATAAAGCATACTAACATCAAGAAACTCGTGAAACGATACATATTTTTTATTTCAATATTTTTATTCCAGTTGTTTTAGTGACCAAACGTACAATTCGTGAATATTTACACAGAAAAAACTGACTGAATAGGTTATCATTCATCAATAAACGTACACGTATATTTATACGTATGTCTAAATATATATATGTCTCACTTCGCGGTGGCTGCGGGGGTGCGGGGGATAGGTTTAAGTTTTAACTTTGGCCACTTTGTTTCATTGTATAGGCTCTTCGGCGCTGTAGTAGTCACATCTCCCTCAAATATGGCGTCGTGATGGAAGGCGCAGAACGGAACGAAAATGATGCATCATGTTTCTACCTATATCCATAGAGATATAAGGATAGAGTGGCACTTGAAGAGTGTGCTAATTATACTAATATACGTAAGGGGGAGCGATACGGTAAAAGAAAGAGATGGTCGCCGAGTGTCCTCTCCATCTCTTTCTATCTGAGCGCTGTGATTGGCTGAATGGCTGCTGCTCAAGGGGGTGTTCTGGCTGTCAGCGGCAGTTACTGACATAGGTTATTGCCTCTTGAGCATCAGCCAAGTACAGCGCTCGGGTAGAAAGAGACAGAGAGGACACTCGGCAACCATCTCTTTCTTTTACCGTATCGCTGTATTCAGCCTCTAGCACACTCTATCCTTATATCTCTATGTGGGCAGCCCAGCTTAAACGCATGGTCCAAATCAAGCAACCAAGTATCAAGCCTGGTTGCCTGGTTGCAGGTGAGTTTGTAAAATGGCGCTGACTTGGGCCCAGCTTGGCCTGACATGGCATAGCTTTCGCCCAGTAATCGCTCACTTTCGTCTGCACTGATATCGGATATACATATACAAGCATATGAGTTTATATATATTTATCCGTGTGTCTCTGCGCGCGCCCATGTCATACTATTTGTATAATTACATATACATAGACGTCTCTGTATTGTACTGATCCGCAGACGAAATTGGGCGATCACTGGGCGAAAGTCATGTCAAGTCAGGCCAAGCTGCGCCCATGTCAGCGCCGTAAAACAAACCTACTGGAGGCCAAGTCCGGAGCCAAGCTGCAGCCAAGGTGGGCGGCATGGCAGCCAAGCTAGGGCCATTTGTCGCCCACTTACAATATTTACTCGGGTCAACAAGTCATCAGTGGAATTTGGAATCAACGGTCTGCTCTCCCAACGTCTATGGGTGTGTTACAGTAACGCTCTTTGACAACTTACCGACAACTTAATTACGTCTGACGAGATCTTGCGTCATGTTTAAGTTGTCGGTAAGATGTCGGAGAGCGCTACTGGACCACACGAGATTTGTTCACCTTTCAATCCAGGGACGGTTGGGGACAGTCTGGGCGAGTCGGAGACGAAAGTGAACAAGTGCTCTTCTCCGATCGTCCCCGATCGTCCCTGACCGTACACGATGCGCAGTTGTACACGTTAGGTTAGGTTAATGCAAAAAGTAAACAAACTTTTTTGTATTTGCACTTCTTTATTTACAAACTATTGCTTACATACAGCATTAACCTAACCTAACGTGTACAACTGCGCATCGTGTACGGTCAGGGACGATCGGGGACGATCGGAGAAGAGCACTTGTTCACTTTCGTCTCCGACTCGCCCAGACTGTCCCCGACCGTCCCTGGATTGTAAGGTGAACAAATCTCATGTATGGTTCCGACGTTCAAAATGACAATCACTTTTATATATTCGTATCAGATCGCATAATCTTGTTTAAGACGTCGAGTGTCTTCATTTTTGAAACGTTAGTTTAAGAATCTTTTTAATATGTCCAACAAATTCGATGCGTAAGTACAAATTAACCAAATTCTTAAGCGGTTATTTATTAGTCGTGCTGTTAAATACATCCCATGAAATATGTAGTAAACTTAAAAGGTTGGAAATTCACTAAAAAATTGAAAGACTACATTTCATCTTTTTTCTTAGTCTCAAAGCGAGTGATGAAAGTGGCGATGAAGATTTTTCGACAAGTAACAAACGACGTAATAAAGGAGAAATTGTAAGACATCTGGTTAGATACTTCTATAGCTAGTCTTTGAAAAAAAATAATAAATGTAAGTTTTAGATTGCTCCTGATATCAGTTCTAATGAGCACCAATTGCAATATGCATATGCCCTTTGGTATAGTAGGCGTAACTTAGGCAAACATAGCAATATACAGAGTTATGATCAAAATTTAAAATTGATTGGTCGATTTGCAAGTGTTGAACAGTTCTGGGGCCTTTATAGTCATTTAACTAGGCCATCAGAATTGACTGCTCACACAGACTTTCATCTTTTCAAAATTGGGATAAAACCTATGTGGGAAGTAAGTAATTTCCAAACAATGTTACATGATTGCATGTGTAAGTCATAAATTTTGTGACTTCTAAGTAAAATATACACTAATTTTTTGCAATCTACCACACAGGATGAAGCTAATCAAAAAGGTGGCAAATGGATTGTGCGTCTTCGCAAGGGATTAGTGTCCCGCTGTTGGGAAAATTTAATATTAGCTATGTTGGGAGAACAATTTATGGTTGGAGAAGAAATATGTGGTGCTGTTGTCTCCATAAGATTTCAAGTAAGTGTTAATCTTCATTTCTTACTAAATATTATAAAAGTGATCATGTAACAAAAATGCGGGACGATAACTAATTTTAATCATGTTAAAGAAAAAGTAGCTGCATCTAATAAGCTAAGATACATGCTTTAAATTAGCAAAGTAAAAAAAATAAAACAAATTAATAGGCACTAATCATCAAGTACCAGAAACGACATGACCCTGAAGTTTGTAACATTGCCTTCAACAAAAATAAAAGAATTTTTTTTTTTTTTTTTTAATTAAAATGCTTTAAACGCTTGAACAATCAATACAAAAGGTTCCCATAAATTATTAGATGATAAAAAGGTACCCTTTTCGAGATATAAGAGTTTAAAGATCGATTTAAAAGTATGGGCGTGAAAAATGTGTTAAGGCCTTTCCAACTGTTAGAGTAAGTTTCAACAAAGTTGGATAGAATGTATACGCATGTACAAATGACTTGAACATTAAAAAATCATCCATACCGACACTATATTCTTAGTGCTACTAAAATGAAATAACTGAAAATATGTTTCCAGTCCTCATAACCTTAGTATATTAGATATTTCATTTTAGAAATATCCGTAATGAACTAAAATTTCGAGACATTCTAATTATAAAGGCTGTACGACACCAAAGATAGCAGGGAAGACAGAATATTTAACAAAAACATACAACAGTTAAAGCAATTGTCGTTTTCCAAAACTTGTTATTTATTATGTGTGTCGTTAAAAAAAAGACCTAAAAATACCCACATTTCAAAGAAATCTGATATGACAAGCTGCATGCCACTAAAAAACTCAATTTATAGTATTATAATTGGGTACAAATCATAGTAATAAGTTCCGACAGTTTTCGTTTTCTGCAATTATTAATTTCAAGTGTTATATCGCAAAAATGACCAAAAAATACGAAAATTTAGGGAAAATTTACAATCAAAGGCTAAATGCCACTGATAATGCATAATTCTTCATAAATATTACTTAATACAAATATAAGTAATAAGTTCCAGCAATTTTCGTCTCCCGGAATTACTAATTTTATGTGTTATAACGACCAAAAAATACGAAAATTGAGGAGAAATTTATTACCACCGGCTGCACGCCACTGATAATGCATAGTCATTTGTTGACATTGTTTAGGGGTAAATGAGCTGGGACGCGTAATGAAAAGTAAAATAGCTTTATTCAAAGAATACACATGTTACAAAGGTCGTCACCGTTGGACGGTAGACACCAGACTGACTGCGATAGCAGAGCCACACAGGGGCTTCAGTTAAACACACACACGATCATGGATACATGTTGTATGCGCTGTTAGAAACTAAATTAAACATACTAAGATTGCGCGCTAATAATATTGGAAATCTAACACACCCCCGCAATAGAAAAGGCGCGAAACAAAAAACAAGTTATATAAGACACCAAAAAAATTCAAAACGCGAGCAAAAATCGGAATTACAACACTCCAAGCTCCAACGTACATTTCTCATGTTTCGGAAAGGTCAGAGCTTTGGTCAGGACGTCCGCCGTCATCTCCTCGGTGGGCAGGTACTGAATTTTAATCGGGTGATTCTGGATCGCTTCTCTGATAAAGTGATGCCTTATGTCGATGTGCTTAGATCTTCTCTGGTGCACGGGCTTGTTTGCGAGCTTGTGCGCCGACTGATTGTCGTTCAGCAAGGTAATGTTGCCGAGGTCTGGTCGCTTCAGCTCTCGCACGAACTGCGAGAGAAAGATGGCCTCCTTGGACGCCTCCGTCAGACACATGTACTCTGCCTCTGTAGAGGATAAGGCAACCGTCTTTTGCTTTCGAGAGCACCATGAAATGGCCCCTCCAGACATGATGAACGCGTACCCCGAATACGATCGACGGTCGACGATGCATCCACCCCAATCGGCATCGGCGAAGGCGATTATTTCTCCCTTTTCTTTAGAGTACGTCAGTTTTCAGTCCATTGTCCCCTTCAGGTAGCGTAAGATGCGTTTAGCGGCGGTCCAGTGAGGTGGTCCATGGCAGTGATTAAACTGACTGAGCATGCTGACGGCGTACGATATATCGGGTCTCGTAGCAATAGCCAGATACATCAGCGCTCCAACCAGTTCTCTGAATGGGTACGAGTTATTGGCATCGGTGGGTTTCTCGGCGATGAGGTTCTCGCCCAAAGACACAGGTGTTCTCGCAGGCTTGCAGTCTGACATCCGGAATTTGCTCAAGAGGTCGACGATGAAGCTACGTTGGGACAGGGTGATCTGATTACCTGATTGTTTTATATTTATCCCCAGGCAGTAATTTATCCCTCCGAGATCCTTAAGCTCGAAGTGACGAGACAAGTCCACCTTGATTTCTGCGACCCTCTTTTCGTTGTTGGATGTGACGATGATGTCGTCTACGTATACGAGCAGATAGGTAATCCCCTCAATTCTGCCGTCGGTGTACACACAAGGATCCGAGTTTGTCGGGCGTAGTCCCATCCTTCGAAGTGTCTGGTCCAGCTTTTTGTGCCATTCACGACCAGCTTGGCGTAGCCCGTAAATGGCTTTCTTGAGCTTGCAGATCTTGCCCGATTTGAAATCAAGCAGCATCGAGGCGGCCTTGCGAGCCAGTTCCGGGTCCTCCTCCGTCTTCACGATTTTCTGGAGCATTTCAGGTAGCAGCTCCGGTGCCTTCATCAACAGTGTAGTGTCCATCTCCCCGTTCAGGTAGGCTGTGGCAACGTCGAACTGTGTGACAGTTAGGCCACTCTCGACAGAGAGCGACAGCAGCAGGCGGAGGGACTCTAATCTGGCCACGGGGGCAAATGTATCAGTGAAATCCACTCCAGGGATCTGCGAGAAGCCCTGAGCAACCACCCTTGCCTTCCTGCGAACGAGCACTCCGTCCGGTCCGTACTTATCCCGAAGGATGATTCGACTTCCCACTACTTTGCTGTTGATGGGCGGGCTGATGAGCTCCAAGGTGTCATTGGTGATAAGGCTTCTTGTCTCCTGATAGATCGCCTCGAGCCACTCCGTACTGTTTGGTCCGCTCAATACGCTCCGTAGGGGGACTTCGAAAGCCACCATGGCCGTGTATCCGTTCTTCGGATCCTCGGGGTCATTTTGCTCCTCTCCGAGTGACTTGCCTTGTTGGACGATAACCTCGAACGCACGGCGTATCACTTCGCTCTCGCTGACCTCGTTGGGGCCCGTTTCGGAGAGTGCATCCTCAAAGGTGGCGTCTCCCTCGGACGCGTTGGAGTCTGGGAGTCGTCCAATCTGGCCGGCATCGTCCCTTGAGAATCCGAGAAATGGTTGTTCATCCGGGTCGTCCTGGCCCAGCACCGGGTTTATCTCGCCTCGGGGTTTGTTGCTCCGGGGCGAAAGTAGAACGTCCTGAAAATCGGGATTGCTCTCGGTTTCCTCGTTCGTTGCCTTGGCGTTCGTGATGGAACCCGGTAGGAATTTGACGTCACGGGAGGTGCACATTTTTCGCTCGTTCGAAAGCCAGATGCGATACGTGTGCGCTGTCCCAGTGTACCCCACGAAAACGCCTGGCACACTTCTTGGGTCAAATTTCCCTTTGGTGGGAGTTTTGTCCAATAAGTAAACCTTGGCGCAGAATGGTCGCAGGTGCGCGATGTCAGGGCGCTTTCCTGTCCAGAGCTGGTGCGGCGTACCGTGACTTATTCCCTTGGTTAGGCATCGATTTTGGGTGTAGTTTGCCGTCGCAATGGCTTCTGCCCAGAAACTACGTGGCAGCCCGGATTCAAGCAACATGCAGCGAGCCATATCAACGAGCGTTCTATTTTTTCGCTCGGCCACTCCGTTCTGTTGTGGCGTGTGTGGGACGGTTGGTCTGTGCACTATACCGCAATCCGTCATGATCTGTAAGAGCCTGTTGTTGACGCATTCACGTCCGTTGTCAGATTGAACAGCTTTGATTTTCATGCCCGTGAGATTTTCCACCTGATTTTTGTATTCCAAAAATTTGTCGGTCACGTCGCTCTTGTTCTTGAGAAAGTAGACTTGGCACCATCGACTCTTATCGTCGATGAAGGTGATAAAGTAACGACCGCCGCCCAGGGACGTATCTCTCATGGGACCACTCACGTCGGTGTGCACGAGTTCGAGCAGCTCACTTGCAGAACTTTGACGATTTGGGAACGCCTGGCCGGTCATCTTCCCTGCTAGTCAGACTTTGCACGGATTTGCGTCTTTCGGAGGTGTGAAATCGAGACCGTCGACGGAGTTGTTCTGTAACATCGACAGCATGTCTCCTCCGTTGAGGTGTCCAAGTCGTTTGTGCCAGGTGGCAAACGTTACGTGTGGCACCGCGACAGCACATGCTTCGAGGTTAGCGTCGATGCGAAATAAATCTCCGGCTCTGTCAGCAACGAGGCGCGTCGTTCCGCTTGAGTCCCTGACTTCTGCACGTCCCTTTTTAAAAAAAACCTCGCAGTTTTTGTCGATGAGTTTTGCAACCGATATGAGGTTAGATCGCAGGTTGGGGACGTAAAGGGCGTCTTTGAAGGTTACAGTGTCACAGGACTTGCCTTTTGTCTTGATTGTGACATCACCTTTGGCCTCGATCGCGGTTGTATCGTTGCTGGCCAGCCGTAGCTCGTCGTTGACCGCCTTGGAATGGGTGAAGGCTTCTTTGTTGTTGCACAAGTGCGATGTACAGCCGCTGTCCAAGTACCAAGAGGCTTCGGCGTGTTTGGGCCGAGAAAAGGCTGCGAAGCATATATTTGCCTCTTCGGCTTCGGCCTGATTTGCTTGAGCCTTTTTCTTGCGACATTCTATTTCTTCATGCCCCAACTTCTTGCAGAAGTTGCATTTGGGTTTGGACTTGTTCTTGTTCTGCTTGTTTGCGTCTGCGCCGGATTTTTCCGGATTTTTGTCTTTCGACCGTTGTTTCGAGTGAGCAAACATGGTATTGAAGTCGATGTCTTTCTGCTGCCTGACGTTGTGCTCCTCTATGATTTTAACCTTGAGAGTTTCCGCGCTGGGCAGTGTGTC